TGACGCCATCGGTTGATATGGAGGATGTTGGTCGCCTGCACAGCATCCTAGTTTGCCCCCCCTACCCACCCCTCTCGGTCAGTAATTGGGTCAAATTAGCTGAGTGGTAGAGAGAAACTAAGGGAGAAGAGAAACATTGGAATACTATTTAGTACACGTGTGCAAAAGTGTAGTTGCTTTGGAAGAATAAATCTCGCTTACCGCAACTGCAGCTAAACTCCACAATACCTGCACCTCCAACTGGTTTAGCTCTGTTGAGATGTGGGGAAAATGGAGCTCCCGTTACCCAGGAATGATCAGACGATACTCTCTGGTTGCTGTTGGAATTCACATAGAGACTGGCTCCAATCCCAGCCTCCGGTTTTATTACAAGCACACACACGCCCACACACGCCCCCACACACGAGGGTCAGGTCAATCCCCTCCCACAGAACAATGCATAGGGATGTCCATACATGAGAATGTACATCCTGTTTGGAGAGTAGCATTTCCTCTTATCTATACTGGAAGCCAGTTGAACCAGTCCTCCCCTCCCCCATGAGCTCTCGGTGGAGAGCAAACTTCCCATCCTATCAGCTCCTACTAGTATGTCCATTTCCCTGTACAAGCATCCCTTAGATTAAACAGTGTCAGTCTGTATCTGAATGGGCCCGATTAAAACACATCCATCCAGATACAGTTCAGGTCAGTAATGGTTTGTAAGATATACATGAGCCTACACACAGAGTTTGCACTGCCTGGCGCCTGGCCATACGAAGTCCATGTGGTACTATGCTGCTGATATGTGGGTACAGGCCCGCGGCCTACTGCCGGCGGCATTCGCATCGAATGCCGTGGTGGTATACACGCCGGTCTATAAGCGCAGATCTGCCATCTCATCCATTACCGAGCTGAGTACTGTAATACATACATTGTAAATGCGCATGGCCCAATTGCAGCCTTCAGAGCTTTAATTAAGCCACACAAGAGACATATGAATAACACTAATATATGACACATTTAAAGTTCAACCTGTAAATACAAAATTTCCATGACAGAATCCATCTGCCCTTAGCTCAGGCATGGCTGTGGGATTGTGTGCTCAGCAGAGAAAACCCCTCCTTCCTTCCTCCAGATGAAGGAAAAAAATGCCCATGAAGATTATTGGGATGTACAACATATTTTCACCCTAGCCCACAAACCAGAAAGAAACTCAAGAAATGTAAAAAGAAAAGTTTAAAACAAGTAAATATAATATACCTTCCTATCTATTTACTAATGCTAACAGAATAAGGATTAAAAATAGGAAACATCGATTCAGAGAGTTTAGTTACGCTTTAATGTTGCTTTTGGGTAGATTGGTCATTTATCAGTTGTTTCTGGACTAAACAGAATTTGTGTTCTTGTCCCTTTAATCAGACTTTTTGTCACTGCTTCATTTTTAGATCATTTCACTATGTCTGTAATAGTCTGGATAAACAGGTGTCCCTCTGTAATGTTTCATCAAGAGGAATTGTGTTTAGCCAACTGTCTTGTTCTCCCGCTTCCTCTTTCCTGCACCACCCCGCATGCTATTCTTCTTTATTGCATCTTACAACACTGATAAGATACTGATCTCTTATAGAAACTCGCATTGTAGCAATTTTCTTCTGTTCTCTTCAGTAGTTGCTAGACATTGTTCACAGTGACCTTATAAACATTAAAATCTCTAGCAAAATCGCATGAGAGTTAATAGGATAATACGTTACTCTTGGTCATAAAGACTGGGAGCCACAGCAAGTGAGATACAGCAACTGTTCAGATCCAGATACAAAGTAACATCCATTTATTCTACAGCTATTGCCATTTTTTTGAAAGGGCAAGGATCCTATTCTAACTTTACACTAAGCTATTTTCTCTTTGCAAAGTGAATTTGTAGTAAATTCGGTGAACGTTTGATGATTTCAATCATGCAATTATGTACAAGCAAAAAATCTTTTTCTTTTTTCCTGTATGATTTTCAGTCAGTTGTCACTTTGTCTCACATAATTTACTAAGATATGTGAAAATTAATTTTGAAAGTGAACATGTTCTACTCCTTTAGTAAAACAGATTCCTGTTTAACCCTTTAATTGCTGCTGTAGTGAGCAATACATCAACATATGTTGCTGTGCTGGCATATACCGTCCAGTAGTTTTCTTTACTTTATTTCTCTCATTTGCTGGCTGTGGAATAGAATTGATTTGGATGGAAAAGCTCACTGTAGGTCATCAGAAACTGAAAATGGCTGAAACTATTTGCTACAAACCAAATGAAAAGAAAAAAACACAACACAAGCGCTCAAGTCCGTGAGCATCCCAGGACCACAGTAGCAGTCACTCGCTTGGGTGCAGCCCTCTAAAGATCGGGGAATCTTGATTATACTGGAAGAAAGCAAAGACTCTCCTCGTGCATTACCGTGGTAAAAAGGAATTTATTTGAAAATGACAAATATATACTCACAAACCGAGATTCATAAAACAAGCTGGGAACCAATGTGACAGTCCAAGCAACCGGTATTCTAACAGCAGGGTGTGCTAACGTGTTTCGGGAGACGTACTCTCTTCCTCAAATAAATTCCTTTTTACCACGGTAATGGACGAGGAGAGTGCACCCCTTCTTCCAGTACAAACCAAATGAAGTTTGTGGACTTCTCACTAGGTGACTTGACAACCAGCCTGGATCTAGGGGGTGCTGTCATGGACTATTTTAGTTGTGCCTCCCCCCCCCCAGATTTTAGTTGTGCCCCCACCCCAAGAAATCAGAGAGTGCATCCAACTAATCCATGAGACTTGATGGTGACAATTGATGTAAAGGGCACTCTGATGGGGACAGTTGATGTAAGGGGGATCTCTGATGGGGACAGTTGATGTAAGGGGGCACTTTGAGGGGGGGAATTGATAAAAGGGTGCACTCTGGAGAGGACAGCTGATGTAAGGGGGGACTCTTATAGAAACCTCAAAGTATGGGGGAATTCTGAGGGAGACTCCTGATGTAAGGAGGAACTCAGTAAAACCTAATATTAGAGGGCAAAGGTTCTGTTTAACCATCCCAATACATACTAGCATTCTCTGTTCACTCTTGCACCTCCTCTGCTCTACCTGTCAGATTACTACCTGTTACCTCCAGGTTGGGACTCCAACTGGTTCCATGCATCTCTGTCACTCTATTGACATTATTCCCACTCCCCCTTTTTTTTTACTACACCCCCAGATTAGATAGGCTAGATCTGGCCCTGCTCGACACAGTTATGTTGGTCATATACAGTTGACCTTTAGGATGATCAAAAAAAATCTAACAGGTTCCTCAATTCACACTATAAAGCATGGATGGATGAACCTCCTGCTATACTTATTATATCCTGACAGCCAGCAACAGTGGCTATCAGAATACCCAAACAGCAGCTACATCTGAATGGATGCAGCTGCTGTTCAATCAACAACATTTCATCTGGCACCTTTTGAGTTTTCAATTGAAGGATGTTGGGGGGAAGGGTGGTAACAGGGGCCCTCACATAGCGAACTTGCAAGCTTTGGCCAAAGGTTACTTTGGATGGATTTACCTGCTGTGATCTGTTTGATTATTGAATATCTTAACTGTTGTTCCCATGAATCAAACTGAAACTGAACAAAAGAGAAACTGACCGTATATTGTGGGCTGATGTTTGCAGGTAGAATCATTGGCAATCATCCCCCCTCATTATTTTGAAGTCTCTGATGGTGATATTTAACTTTTAATAATGGAGTCTCTATTTCAGGAGAATGCAAAGGAAGACTAAGATTCCCTTAAATTACCGTTGCGATTGTAGCAATAGAGGGTAAAGCCTGGAACTCATTCAAGGAGATTGTGCCATTAGAATGATCTAGAGATACTGTATATGCTAGAGAGCAAAATGACCTGTAGCTTTGGCCCATTTTTTATGGGAACTTTATGGGAGCATAGCCATGAATATACTGCCAATGTGCATACACTTTTAAAATGTAGCCCTACCTACTGGACTACAGAACATTATCTCCCACCCCTCTCTGTCCTGATCTGTGTGCATACATATATTTTTTTTCCCCAAGCAAACATTGATGCTGTCTTGATTTCCAAGAGCCTGCCCACACACTGTTTATAGAAAAAGCTCTATTGGGAAATGTAGTTCTGACGGCATGCATGCGTAGATATGGAATGAGCTTCCGGCATCTGTCCCTACAAGAATTTTAGTTGCCTCGGGATGACATCATAGGAAATGATAAAAGATCATTCTCTCTTCAGAAACACCAGATGTGAGGATGTGGTTTAGTTGTTGAGATGAGGTTTTTGGAGTAAATTTGGACCAGGACTATGCAAATTCTATGCAAAAATGTTTCCTCTTTTTTGTAGTTTCTTTTTTTTTCTGGCTGTTAACCACTGAAGCATCCACTATCTGCCAGCCTTTACCAAAAATGATAGACTTTTACGGGAATACTTTTTTTTTTTTAGAAATAACAATATGACTTTTAATCTCTCGGAATACAAATTGCTGCAGTTAGTTTTTTCGGTACTTCAGCATAACTGCCTTGTGTATCTCAATTACCTCCAAAATTTATAGTATTGTAAAGCAACGGGATAAATTTAATTTACAACAAGCTGAAATCTATTTAAGAACTTGCAAAACTTGTAGGCATCGACTCTACTTCATCAGCTCTTCCTTGCAGCTCAGATGGGTGTAATTAAATAAAATGGTCATTAAAATATAATTTGGTATGGTCTGCAGTTTGTTTTAAGATTTCAGTTTCATAAACCTCTGTCTTTATAGTGCCAAATAAATATTAAAAATAGTCCAATAATTATTCATCATTGTATAGATACATAAAGTTATTTATATTCTACGTAAACAACTGATATCATCAAACTCATAAATGACCATTCAATTCGCTAAGTGAGCAGTTTTAGTAAATTGATCTCCTAGACAATGTGAAAAGGATCAGTACAGCATAACCACAATGTAATTAACAAATATGTCTGGCCTTATATACACATAGTCAGGGGCGGACTGACCATTTGGAAACTAGGGCACTGCCCGAGGGCCCGGGGTCAGTAGGGGGCCCCATGAGATGCCCCTGGTACCTTTTTCATAGGCTTTTTTTAGTTTGGGCAATGACACAGGGGCCCCATGATCCCCTATTGCCCGGGGGCCCCATAAGTTGTCAGTCCGCCCCTGCTGACATGCTTTTATAAACTATACATAAAAAATGTTTTTTGGATTTTTTTTTTTACTTTAAACTGCATTGATAGGGTTATCTGCATCAATGTTATCACTTTTAAACTGTTAATCCAAAAGTGATATTTAAAGCACATCTCCAGGCAAATGTTGCACCCCCCTCCCCCATAAAAGCCCCTCCATGCACCCAGAAACCAACCATTTATACATTTAAAAAACATTCTAACAACCTTTTTTTTTTTTTTACTCTTCTGAGCCCACCATCAGATGACCCTGCATAACCTACCCGTGATCCACCACTGCAGTTCAGGCCCTCTTCTGACCAGTCTTGTTTCTGCTTCTTGTTGGGGAGGTTTCATTTTTCTGTTGGCTCATTATGAAGACCCTGCTGATGGACAGTCAATAGTTAACATCCCACACCACCAGGAATTGATCACCACCTCCAAATCAAAGAAGGTCACTGTCACTCAGAAGAAAGAAGACTGGGGTCCAAAGTTTCATGTGATCATTCAGGTAAGTATTTGGGCCATTTGGATTATTTTTTATAAATGTAATTGCAGTCTCATCTAGAGAGGTAAAATGGATTAAGTTCATTGGAGGTGTAGTTCAGAGATATAGATGCCTGGTTTTACAGGTGCATACTTTGCATAATTCCCTCCTAGATTGTAAGCTCCAAGGAGCAGGGCCCTCGAACCCCTTGTGTATTGAATTGTATTGTTACTGTACTGTCTCGTGTACTGTCTCCCATTATAATTTACAGTGCTGAGCAAACTGTTGGCGCTATATAAATCCTGTATAATATTAATAATATTAATATAATATTAATAATAATGCCACTACAACCTGCTTATCCATTGCTGTACGTAAGTAATTAGAATTGTGAGGGGAAGAGGGAATTGGAATTACATAGATGTTGTTGCAGGGGGACGCCTTGGATGGATTGAAGAATTGCTTCCTTTTGTCTTCAGCAAACTGATGATAGCATTCTCCCAGACTGCATCTCTCAGCCTTGATACAGACACTTGCCTAGAGCTTAACCTGTTGACGCCAACAAATATGCGGTCTCTCAGCGGCTGGGCCTTAACGCCAATCAGATGCATGTTTGCATACCAAAAGTAAACAAACATGTGCCAAGAGTACACGCCCTGCAAGCTCCCGGCACATTTACTGGCGCCTCACGGAAAGGTCCCGATCACTACTTGCGATCGAGACATTTCCGATCAAATGACTGATGTGCCAATCACTGATAAATGATGATGTGCCCAATCACGGTGTGGTCTCATGACCCTAAACCCCTACCCCATCTTCTAGTGTCACAAACCCCTTAAAGGGCTGAGAGGTGCTGGCGCCAAAGGGTTAAAGTGGTTGTAAACCCTTACATATGCCTTGTGAAGTGACTGCCCTCAGGTAATACACAGATATGAAACAAATTCTCCTACATTAAGTTGTACCTGTCTATCTGCAATCTTCTCTTCTCTACAGCAGTTCATAGTACTGAATTTATACAGCTTGTCTGAGTTCAGAAAAAAAGATCTGAAATTGCACTCTGCAGAGCTCAGTGAGAGGAGCTCTGAGAGCTGATTGCAGGGAAAAGACTAGAGGTCCCTCACCATCACCATTGTTCTCTTGGTGTCAGGAAAACTTCTAAGAAGTGATTCTTGCTGATAACAGAGAAAAAAGAAGAAGCAGAGAGAAATTACACTTAATGTTCTTAAGTATTGACTATAGAGGGATATGCTTTGCTTATTTCATGTCTGAGGTTTACAACCACCTTAAAAACTAGGCTTCATGCACACCGAGCCTTCTAGCAGCAGTACATTTCCCAATGTTTACCTGCACCTAGGAAGGACAGGAGTAGCACCCAACCCCACTACCAGCAGAATGTCAAAGTCTATGGCAGGTTGTGGGGCTGAACACTACACCTTTCTTTCTTGGGAGCACTAAAACTAGATGGCTCTGAAACTAGATGGCTCTGTGTGCAAGAAGCCATAAAGGTAAAAAATGTTTTCATTTTGGCTGTATTTTGCTACAATGGGGATTTAATCATGCAGACATGTAATGTTACTATTAGGTCTAAATTTCTGCCCAACTCCAGTAACAACCTTTCTTGTTTTTATTGAGTAGGGATATATTAGAACCTCTTTAGATTTTTCTTGCTGTCTGTGCCAATGTTGGGGTAACATAGGGAGATAGCAACCAAACACTTGTAGAGAAGGGAAAGGCTGTCTCCAAGTTCCTTGACCCGCCCCTACCCGTTTTTTGTCCTAGTGTCGCAGGGATATTAGAAATGAAGGAAAATGTCCCACAGAGAAAGATTAAAGCATGACAGGAAAAAAAAAGAAAATGTTTTGTGAGGGGCTGGGCTTTAGGACGCTAATGGACATTCCAGCCAAAAAAGTCTGCAAAATTGATTTCTACAGCTATGACACTGAGGCATGACTTCAAAATGTGCTAGCTGAAAGTTCAATCTTTGAGAGAAATGAGAGCAGAGCAAAGCCCAAGGGACATGTACATTTAAAACATGATGATTTCTTTGACCTCTTATTTTGTGATATCTTACAGACCACTTATACAATACTGCCATAAATTATTCTGATATCATTCTCCTGACATCATTCCCACTCAAGATATTTCTCTTCTGAAGATTGAAACATTACTTCTCACAGGGGTATAGCAGGCTCACATCTCCAATTGACCCTGTCTAGTTTCTTTCCTGTAGCTCTTGGATCCACTCTTCGGATCCTTGACTTATGGTGAGGTGAATAAGTTAGGCACCAGTCACCCTAATGATAGCTGTCATTTTTTCACTGGTAACACTGGAAAAGAGCACTAGGGAACACAGGATATCCAGAAAAAGGTAAGCAGCACAGGTAGGGCGGTGAATCTCAATTTCCAAACCCCATATTTAGTGTAGCTTGTTTTCTTTTTCTCTAATTCAGCTGGTAATTCTTAACCCTGTGTGTGTAGCCAAAATTCTGAAGGAGTCAACAGTCTCTTTTCTTCTTGCTAGTCCAGCTGCAGCCTAAAGCCAGGTGTCCCTAGTCATCTTCAGCTCAGAAGATCCTCTGTTCAAGATGCACCCTCCAGGTACGCATCTCATGCACTGTACCTAGCATCCCAACAATCCAACAAAGCTTTTACACTGATCCCTACTCTCCAAAGAGGAAAAGAACACTCTGGATGGTTGCTCTAAACATTTACTACTTACACATAGCTCACACCATTGAACAGACTCTTCAGTGAACGGTCTTCAGACTCTTCAGGGTCTCTCCTCTAGCTTAGAGCAGGACCCTTACATGGTATTTTTAAAGGGGTATTTTCAAAGTGACCTTGTTGCCAGAATAAAAAAGTTAAGCACCTAAAGCCTACTGTATATAAATAATAGTAATATAATTCCCGGAGGACAGTGAATTATTATAAACGTAGCAACGTAGCAGAGGGCAAGTAAAACCACAGAATGCATCAAAGGTATCCTACACACCCAATAGTTGCTGAAGATAACCAATGATGAAATTATCTTTGCAAAAGTGCAAAGATTTGAACCACTGCCCACTGAATGGATAAGAATTACTAATATTCTCTTACAGGCTGGCTATATATCAGTCTTTTGTTTCTAGTGACAGGTCATTTTATAGAAAAATATCTCCTTTACAGAGAGCATTAAAGTGCTATTAAAGGCAGATTTAAAAAAAAATAGCAAACATGTTATACATATCTGCTCTGCGCAGTGGTTTTGTATAGAGAAGCTCTGAGCCTCCTCTTCTTGGGTCCCTTGCTGGTGCTCCTGGACCCTCCCTCTTGCCTAGCGCCCCCATAGCAAACAGCTTGCTATGTGGGCACCTGAGCAGGCTCACTTCTGTGTGTCCATTCACATACGGAGCATGGCTAGGGCCAGCCCCTACTCTCTCCTTATTGGCCCACTGGATGTGATTGACAGTATCAGGAGCCAATGGTTTCCACTGCTTTCTCAGCCAATGAGGAGGGAGAGACCTGGGAGAGCTGAGGCTCTCATGCATATCGCTGGATTGAGATGAAGCTCAGGTTAGTTTTGGGAGGACTGCTGCACACACAAGTCTTTTTACCTTCATGCATAGAATACACAAAGGTAAAAAAAAACCTTTGAGCCTTTACAACCACTTTAATATGATATATTTATGAAATGATTAATTTATCTGTTCAGCTGTGCTGATATTGTAATGCTTTGTGGCTATTCAAATTATTTACATTTCTCATATAAATGTTCAAGTCAGTAAATAAAGTAAGAAACACATATTTAATGTCTTAAAGTGTAACTAATATCCATTTGGATAGAATAACAGAGGGTTATAACTTCCATCATTTTTTTTTGCCGTCTGTTTCCCATTGGGGAGATTTCCCTTCACTTCCTGTCCTGTAGTCAAAACAGGAAATGAGAAGAAAGCCATACAAAGTGAGGGAATCCTGGTGTATCTCCAGGGTCATCAGAACTAATGTCCCAGGTTGAAGGTTTCCCCTTTATTAGTGTTCTGATGTCAACCAAAGATGTAGGATTTTCTTTTACTTTCACTTGATAATGGTAAATAGGTGAATCTCTCTAAATGGGGCACAGCAAGCAATACAAATTTGCAGCAGTTCAAATCTCTCTCCACTCTATCCCAAGCTATAAAAAAGTTTTGCTTTTAGTTACACTCTAAGTGTTTGTACACATTATAACATGCAATAACATTCTAATTACATTTACATTACGTTTTATGTAAACTTTTCCCAAGAGTGTATTACTTCAGCCCATTAGATTAGAGTTAAGTTAGAGGGATGATCAGGATCAGGGTGTTTATTATCTACATGAGTTAGTCATGTTGGTGGTTCTGGAGGTCAAACAAGATGAGAATGATTGTAGCAGACATCAATAGCTTTGAGCCTAGTCCAATGAAACTCTGGGCAATTCGGCCAGGTTCCCACCTATACGTTTTTTTAGTGTGTTTTGCAGAAACACACTACAGTCC